GTGTACTGCATCCAACAAAGAGTGCTTTGAAGGTGACTGGAGGTTAGACACGTATAATCACAATTTTTTATAAATAAGTTCCTGGGTTTTTTTTTCGGGGAGGGTCCTCCTCATAAACCACGTCTGCCAACAGCACCATCTGGCCCCACAAACTCTCTTCAGGGAGGCCAAGAGGCGAAGCCCACCAGTTGGGGGCACTCCAGGCTATCTGCTAGGTGTGATGCTCTGTGCCTCAACCCGGCCCATCACTGAAACGGGGGCCAAAATAAACGCCGGGCAGCTAAGGAGGTGGGATGTGGAGCCAAACAATAGACGGTTTGGTACTCAGAGAGGACTGAAGTGCCAAGACTCAGGGTGACAGGACATGGCCAGATGAAAGGGCAGGACATTTGCCTGGCTTCTGGAAACACGTTCGATGAAGATGACAGTTCTCAATCCTGGTGGCACATTATACCGTCCTAATGTGCATCTAAAAAAATACAGATAGCCTGATGCAGTGGCTCATGCCTGTAATCTCAGCTACTCAGGAGGCTGAAGCAGGAGGATTGCTCAAGCCCAGGAGTTCAAGTCTGGCCTGGGCAACATTGCAAGACCCCATCTCTTAAAAAAAAATTAATTAGTTAAATTTAATTTAATTTAAAAATACACATGTTTGGGCCCTGCCCCAGAGGTTCTAATTTAACTAATCTGGGGGGGTTGGTATCTTTCAACATTTTTCAGGGGCTGGGTGCAGTGGCTCACACCTATAATCCCAGCTCTTTGGGAGGCCGAAGCGAGAGGATTGGCTGCCGTGAACTGGGATCGTCATGCCACTGCACTCCAGCCTAGGAGACAGAGTGAGATTTCAACTCAAAAAAGAAAAAAAAATTCTCAAGGAACTTTAATGCGTAGCCAGGGTTGAGAACTGCTGGTAAGAACTGACAGACACACACAGGCACACACACCCTCCTAGACATACACTCCTACAACGTGCCAAGATCGTGATAAGATTTTGGAGCTGAACATGCCCAAGGGTGAGTGGGGGGTGGGAGGAGGGTGCCGATGGCTTCTCTGCCGTCCACGGAAGCGTCTGTCCCTCTGAGGTTTAATCCTTTCCTCCTCCCCACATAATCCCTTGGTTCCTGCCGCAGGACTGAAATGAACCCAGCGCAAAAAACTCTGAGCTCAGAGAACTGGGTTTAAAAACAGGCGATACAGGCCTTGCTGCCTGAACAGCAGCAAAGGGCCCTGGCCAGAGGCGCCTGGCTGACTCCATGGGCCATCCTTGAGGTGTTTACTAAGGGTCTCCACACTGCCCACTGCCTGACGGAACTTCTCACCCCCACCTGCCTTGGAAGAGAACAAGGACACACATGAAGGGGACAGAGTGTGTCATCGTGACATAAAGATGATTTTGAGCAGAAGGCATTCGAGTTGCTGAAATCTCTTTATCTGTCTAAAAGCAGAGCCTACTGCACCCAAGAAAACAAGAAAACTCAGCTGGGAGCAACCAAGAAGACTGACTCTTATCACGGAGAAGTCTCCACACCAGCCTAAACATACGTGTCACAGGACTATCGTTATCTCCTACCTCATCTCCTAAGGGCCTAACTATCCACAATGTTGTTTTCCAGCAAACGCGTTCTTCCTCTGTTCACATGGCATATAGGCCCCAAATTCTAACTTCCCCTTTGAGCCACACTTTTCTGTGAACTCCCATACATCTGTGATTAAATCTGTCTTTTCTTTTGTTAATCTAGCTTGTCTGTTTAATTTGCAGGCTCCCAGCACTGAACCAACGAGGGTGGAGGGAAAGTTGTTTTTCTTCCAGATACTTATAACCCCCACCCCACCCCGCACCCATGGGCAATTTAGACTCCTGCTTCTCAAAGTCTGTAAAAGCAGGATAGCTCACCCTGCAGGATAATCCCATCCCAAAAGGATGCCGGTCAGGTCTGGGAGCAGGGGTGAGGAATGAGACTGGCAAATATTTACATCTTAGGCTAGAAAGAGGCACTCAGGTATCCATAGTGCATATTTTTAAAAACTGAAAGAGAAATCTCCAGCTGCCTTGGGGTATAAAAAGCAGCAATCTTTTCTGTGGCTCGATGGCTAGGCGACCCGGGGGACAAGTCATGGCCACCCTGAGCCTCAGTTTACTTGCCCATAAATTGAAAGCAACAAAACCACCTGCTGTTTGGCTGTTTGAGAGGCAGTTGCTCAAGCTTCCTGCCCTGCCCTGCGGGGTTTGGGGTGGATCAGATGAGTTAACACAACAGTGCTCTGAAAACCACACGAAGTGTCAGGCTGGTCCTGGCCAACTCCAGGCCTGTTTTCATGACCTGACAGAAAGGCCCCAAGCCAGCAAGCCTTGTTTCTCCCTTGGGTCAGGGAGCTCAGTCTCATGGCTTTTGCAGCTGCTCAGGCTATGGGATAGGAGACTTTTGTCAGCCCCAGACCCACTCTTGGGGGAGGTGGGGAAGGGTCTGAAACTCTTCATACCTTTGGGGGACGGTGAAACCTTCACTCATGGCCAACTAAGAAGCGGTTTTGAGTTGGGGCCAGTCCAGTCCAGCTGTCTCTCCTCCCAGAACTCGGAGCACAGGAAGCTGGGGGGTGCGAAGCTGATGGAAACAGCCCCTCTGATGGTGTGCACCACCACACCAGCTAATTTTTTTGTTTATTGCAGAGACGAGGTCTTGCCAAGTTGCCCAGACTGGTCTCGAACCCGCGCTCAGGCAAACCTCTTGCCTCCACCTCCCGAAGTGCTGGGATTACAGGCATGAACCACCACACCCAGCAGAGGGAGTGGTCCCACCTGCAAAAATGAAGAGTAGCCAGGTACAGTGGCTCACGTCTGTAATCCCATTGCTTTGGGAGGACCACTTGGATCACTTGAGCTCAAGATGAGCCTGAACAATGTAGTGAGACCTCATCTCTATCTCTATCTCTCTCTCTCTCTCTGTGTGGTGGCAAGCACCTGTAGTTCCAGCTTACTCAGGAGGCTAAGGGGTGAGGACTGCCTGAGCCCAGGAGTGATCATGCTACCATCACGCCACTGCACGCCAGCCTGGATGACAGAGTGAGTGAGATCTTGTCTCAAAAAACAACAACAGAAAGGGGAAAGGGATAGTAGAGGCGAGTGGAAGGGGAAAACATGGCCCCTGTGCAGATGGCCTGGTGCAGGCACCCAGTGGATGATCCAAGACGCTGCCTTCCTGCCTCTCCCTCGGAGCGTGGGCGGGAGACAGCAGAGAGGAAGGAGCAGCTGCTAGCCTGGGCCTCCACGATTCTGTGTTGAAAGTGAAAAAAGGAATAAGCCGCAACGGCTGGCTGAGTTTCTTACGTCTGTGCCTTCAAATCCTAATGCACCCAATACAACTTTTGGGCAAGTTCTCTTCTAAAGGTATACTGAAAATTGAAAATGCAAAATGCCACGCGTATGTATCACGACATGCAAGTTACAGATGGGAACAGGAGGGTTTCCCACACCGTCTGTTGGTCCTTCCTTCACTCTCTGCATAGGCACTGAGGGTCCCACCAGTGCAGACCTCAGACTCAGGGAGGAGATAAGGAAGTTAACATATGGGTGAGACCATTCTTTTTTTTTTTTTTTTGAGACAGAGTCTCACTCAGTTGCCCAGGCTGAAGTGCAGTGGCGCACAAATCACTGCAACCTTGACCTCCTGGGCTCAAACAATCCTTCTACCTCAGCCTCCCAAGTAGTTGGGACTATGGGCGCATGCCACCACACTCAGCTAATTATTTTTTTGTAGAGACGAGGTCTCACTATGTTGCCCAGGCTGGTCTTGAACTCCTAGCCTCAAGCGATCCTCCTGCCTCAGCCTCTCAAAGTGCTGGGATAACACATGTGAGCCACTGCACTCAGCCCACTGAAGTCATTCATTCTTTTTTCTTTTTTTTGAGGTGGAGTCTCTCTCCATCGCTCAGGCTGGAGTGCAATGGCATGCTCACGGCCACCGCAGCATTGACCTGCCGGGCTCCAGCAATCCTTCCGCTTCAGCCTTCCAAGCAGCTGGAACTACAGGCATGCGCTCACCCCTGGCTAATTTTTTATTTATCATAGAGACGAGGTCTTGCCAAGTTGCCCGGGCTGGTCTTGAACAGGCGGGCTCAGGCAATCCACTCGCCTAGGCCTCCTAAAATGCTGGGATTACAGGCTGAGCCACCGAGCCTGGCGAGGCCATTCTTAAAGAGTCCCCAAAGTGGGCCAGCTCCTGCAGGAAGCAAGCATCCTAGGCAGCGGCTTGGAAGCAGGTCTCCAGGAAGCCAATCAGGATGTTCCATAGGCCGGGAGGCAAATCATGAGCCTGGAGGCAGGATGGTCATAGTGTCATGAAGTGTCAGCCCAGGCTGTTCACCAGACCCCAGGACAGAATGATCACAGCAGTTGGGGTGCCAGATTTGCCCACCCGATTCCTGCTCGGCTCAGAAAATAACTGTTTCAGGGCCACAGGCAGAAGCCCAACTCTTGTAAGCTGCCGGCTACAGGGTGCTGCTGGGGACAGGTAGGAACTGTGACAGACCAGTTCCCTGAGCAGCCAGAGGCACCTGCGGGAGGACAGGGGAACAGGCTGGACGACACCTCCACCTCTTCTCTCAAGCCCCAGCCCTCAAGCCAGAGTGTCCTTGGTCCCTGGAGGCTCCCAGGACTGCCAGGTGGGCAAGGAGAGATCGGTGCAGGTGGCGAGTCACCTGGCTGGTACAGGAGGTGCCAGAGGTCCCAGTGCCAGGTGTGGCAGCTGCTCTTCCAGGGTCCACTCCCTGTGACCCTCTTCCCCCACCAGGGAGGAAAGCGCTTGGAGGCAGGAGCTGGGAAATCTGGCCTGAGTTCCCTGCGTGACCCTGGGCCAGTCACGTAACCTCCCTAAGTCTCATTTTTCTTACTTGCAAATCAAGCAGACAAACTCCAAAGTCTCTTTCGGCTACAGAATTCTAAGCTTGAAAAAAAAAAGCCACAAAGTCCTTTTACGGGTGGCAGCGAGCGTGGAGAGGGCGCCATGAAGGTCTTGGGCACACTGTAGGAGTGCGAGGTGGTAGGGTACTGCCTGGCCACCCCCAAGTGCCACACACCCCCGCTGTGCATCTTCACCCCCAACTGTGTGGTCACCAAGTCCCATCTCTGGGACTTTGTATCCCAGCTGAAGATGAAGAAGTCCTCAGGGGAGATCGTCTACTGTGGGCACGTGTTCAAGAAGTCCCCCCTGCGAGTAAAGAATTTTGGCATCTGGCTGCTCTATGACTCACGCAGCGACACCCACAACAGGTACCGCGAGTATAACCACCACAGGCGCCGTCACCCAGCGCTACCGAGACGTGGTCACCTGACATCGTGCCCATGCCCACTCCATCCAGGTCATGAAGGTAGAGGAGACTGCAGCCAGCAAATGCTGCCGGCCGGCGGTCAAGCAGTTCCACAACTCCAAGACCAAGTTTCCGCTGCCCCACTGTGTCCTGCGTCGCCAGCACAAGCCACATTTCACCACCAAGAGGCCCAACACCTCCTTCCAGGGTCTCCCAGCCCCCGATAAACCCCAGAACATCCGGGGAAAAAAAGCCACAAAAAAGGATGCCTATCATCAGCCAACACCCGCACCTTCATTTGTAATAAAGGGGACACGGTTTTTGCTACTGGGTTTCTTTCCTACCCAGCCGAGAGGGAGCCTTTTTTACTGACTGCCGAGCTAGAACATTCTAGGGGGACCCAGAATCTCCCAAGGTTCAAGATACACAAGGGAATTTCTCCTAATTTTTCTAGGATAAAAGCGCCACTGCCTGACCGTCTCAGTTTCCCGTGGCTGCTGGGCAAGTGGCCATGCACTTAGTGATGTGAAACAGCACAGATTTGCCATCTCATAAAGGCCCAACACAGTCTCCCTGGGCTAGGACACAGGTGTGGACAGAGCTGTGTTCCCTTCTGGAGGGTCCAGGGGAGACTCCATTTTCCTGCATTTCCCACCTGTCCACATTCCTTGGCTTGTGGTCTCCTCCAACCTTCAAAGTCTTTCTCATGCGTCTCTCATGCTTTTAAAAAACCTTGTGGGCAGGGATCGGTGGCTCAGCCTGTAATCCCAGCACTTTTGGAAGGCCGAGGTGAGTGGATTGCCTGAGCCTGTGGGCTCGAGACCCACTCGGGCAACTTGGTGAGACCTCGTCTCTACGATAAATCAAAAATTAGCCAGGCGTGGTAGGGTGCACCTGTAGTTCTGGCTACTTGGAAGGCTGAGGCAGAAGGATCACCAGAGCCCAGCAGGTTGACACTGGAGGATCGTGAGCCACTGCACGCCAGCCTGGGTGACGGAATGAGATTCCAACTCAGAAAAAAAGAACCTTGTGATTAAGCTGTGCTCATGTAAATTATCCAGTAAAATCTCCCTATTTTAAGACCAGGCACGGTGGCTCACCCCTGTAATCCCAGTACTTTGGGAGGCTGAAGCAGGAGAACTGCTTGAGCCCAGGAATTCGAGACCAGCCTGGGCAACATAGCAAGACCCTATCTCTACAAAAAAATTTAAAAACTAGCCAGGCATGGTGGTGCATGTCTATGGTCCCAGCTACTCAGGAGGCTGGGGTGGAAGGATCGCCTGAGCCCAAGAGATCAGGGCTGCTGTGAGCCATGATTGTGCCACTGTACTCTAGCCTGGACGAGAAAATGAGATCCTCGTTAAAAAAAAAAAACCTACTGATTAGCACCTCAATTCCCTCTGCCGTGTCACCTAACATATTCTCAAGTGCTGAGGACTTGCACACATCTCCGGGAGTCATTATTTCACCAATCCCACTACCCACAGCCTAGAGAAGATGAAGGATAGGATTGCAGGCCCAAGTGGCAACGGCCCTGGTTCAAATCCTGGCTCCACCACTTAGGATATCCGTTGAATGGGAGGAACAGGGAGCCGTGTTTGCCGCTGTCGTGCGGAATGAGGCAGTGTAGGCGGCATCTGGAGCAGTGCCCGGCATGTGAACGGATCTGTGACCATCTGTTCCTTCGTCACCAAATCTTAGAAGAGCTAAGCTCATCTCAACAGCCAGTTCCTTTGGTCACAAAGCCAGGAGCACCCCCTGCAGGGCGGCCCAAGCCCCTGGCCCCTTTGACAGTCCCACTCCACATACCACGTGCGGCCCCGGGAGATACCCGGATGATGCCACTTCCAATGCACATGCAATGCAGGACAGCACCAGACACTGAGAACCAGCCACATCACCAGCGCAAACCAGGGGTGCCCAGCGTCACCTCTGACTCCGTCAAGGCCTGGGAGAAGCTTCTGGGGGTACCCGACCGCCTCACAGGAAGTCGGACATAGGACGATGTATCCGAAAGGGACTGGGGGCAGGAAAAAGTCCCCCCTAGAAGCTGCCTTCTTGGCTCCTGACAGATGATCCTCCCAGGGAAACTTGGGCCTCACTAGGGCTCTCCTGGTGTGGCACTTGGCCCAGGGCGTCTGAGTAGGCCAGGACCCCTGGTGATGGTGGTGGCCAGCCCGGATGGGGCCTCCTCATCAGAACCAGGAGGAGGCCAGAGGGGGCAACAACCCCTCACCTGGTCCCTGATGGTCAAAAGGCCTCGGGCAGCCTCCTGGCCTCCCAAGGCCCTTCTGCCTCATCCCCATGAGTACAGAGAGTCCCCCTTCCTCCGTGAAAGACAGTCGATCACAAAAAGGCAGCCATGCATCCAGTGAAATGAATTTATACCACTGGGCGCAGGTCATTCCGGCTTCTCTGCAGAGGGTTCCCGGGACATGGGCTAGAGGTCTCACGGGGAGGGTTTGCTGCGCCCTGGGAACCAGGCCACTAGTCCCAGACTCGGGCCATACCACAGAGGCCTCATGTCCCTCCCAGTTTCTTGCTTTCCAACCACTTCTGCAGCGGACACTCTTCTTCCTCCACAGGGCCCACTGAGGTCAAGGGCAGGGGTCACAGCACCACAGCAGCAGGGAGGGTCAAGCCCGGGATGGCCAGGCTGTGTGATCTTGGGGAAGTCGCTTTGTATCTCTGGGCCTCTCACTTCCTCCTCTGCAAACTGAGGGCGTGGGCCCAGTGATCTGCATGTGAGTCTGTGCCTTCATCTGGGTCACACAGCCTCCTGCGCCCTCCCATCAGCTTCGGAACCCGGAGTCCGCCCTCCTGTCCAAGAAAGGCTTGGGGTCACGCGGGGTGGCTCACGCCTATAATCCTAGCACTTTAGGAGGCCAAGATGAGAGGATTGCCTGAGCCCACAGGTTCGAGACCAGCCTGAGCAGTTTGGAGAGACCTCATCTCTACAATAAGTCAAAAAATTAGCCGGGCATGGTGGCGCATGCCTCTAGTTCCAGCTACTTGGAAGGCAGAGGCAGAAGGATCACATGAGCCCAGCAGGTCGCGGCTGTGGTGGTCATGAGTGTGCCACTGCACTCCAGGCTGGGTGACAGAGTGAGACTCTGACTCCAAAAAGAAAAAAAGAAAGGCTTGGGGACGTTCTTTATGCTCTGCCCCAAACAGAGGCAGCCTGGCCCTCTCTCTGGTGTCCTTGCCCAGGCAAGGCCGGTCAGCTCATCCTGCAGAACCCTCAGGGGCCTTCAGTCACTCTGGAGACCGAAACTGGGGCTGGCTGCCTGGAAGCCCCAGGCCCCACCCAGAGGCCAGCGGCAACACAGGAGGTGTAGGTGGCAAGGGCCAGAGGCCAGGCCACTCCCTCCAGCGGGGCAGGAGGGGGCGGAGAAAAGCGGAACGCGTGATTACTTCAGGCTGAGGTTCTGGGAGGAAGAGCGACCCGTGAGCAGAGGGGGCAGGCCGGGGCGCTCCAGCTGGCGGGCGGATGGGAAGAGACCCCGGCCTGACAAGCCCCCTTCTCCCCTTGCTGGCTCCAGCCCCGCCTCCACCCCGTCTGGGGGAGAAAGTGAGGCTCTTCGCTTTGCCAAACCCTGTAATGAATCTCACATTCACTCCATCCTCTCTGCTTACTGGAAACCCTCTCTCCACCTTCTGGATCCGCTCTGAACAGCTGGGCGGCAGAAGTCGGCGGAATAAATATGCAGGGCGGCTGGGGGTGCCTGTGCAGAACACTCTGCATTCCCCACCCACCCCTTCCTCTGAAGATAAGGGCCTCTCTGTTCCGGCCCCTTCCCTGGGAAAGTCGGAGAGAGGGATCTGCCACGGACTTCTCTCTCGTGCACAGCAGCTTCCTAGGTGGCCTCGCGCCCCCATCGCGGTCTGCAGGGCGGGAGGTGGGGGCCAGGCTGAACTCACCCAGTTGAGGAACCAAGTGTGGACGGACAAGCTGGGACACGGGTCTTGAGGCAAGGAGAACTCACTCGGTTCTCCGGGCCCGGCAGCAAGTGCCAAGTCCCAGCACTGCGCCCTGCCTGGAGCGGCATCAGGATTCATAGGAGGAAGAACAGACGCCCCTAGAGGCCTGTGCTCTGTGGACCGCACAGAGCTGGGCTCAGAAGCAAACGCGTTCAGACACCCACTGTAGTAACACACACGCGCACACATACACACACCCCCCCACGCGATGAAGGCTACATGCTGACCTCCACGGACAACTGCAAGACCACCAGGCGGGGGAGAGGCCAGAGCACATGAAACTGCAGAACGACCAACTCCCAAGAACACCCGCCACCATGCCTGCGGGCACCCAGCTCCCCCGGCTGCTTGTTTTGTGTTAACACCCTTCAGGAATGATGCCTCTGAGACTTGGACGCACTGGCACCGCTGCCCCCAACCTCCCAAGGATGGGCCAATCTGTGGTCAGTCAGGCACAGGGCGGGCGGCATGGGTGCTCTGTCCGCCAGCAAGGGCTCTCGGCTTCTCTCTGCCTGAGTGTGGGTTCTACGGGTTGAGAAGAAGTCACGGAGCTACCCCGGAAGACACTGGGACACTGTGGGCCAATCAGGCATGGGCTCTGCGGCAGGTTGAGAGGAGACGAGGTCCCAGGCCCTGGGAAACACTGCCCCAGCTCTACCACGAACTCACTGTGTGGCCCTGGCCAAGTCACTGCAACTCTCTGGGTCTCAGATTCTCCACTGTCCCAAGAGAGAGCTGAATCGGAGGGCTGGTGAGGAGGTGGATGACAGTGGATAGGGACAGGGGCTCTGGAGCCAGGCTTCCAGAATTCAAATCCTCCTTCTGCCACACCTACCAGCTGTGTGGGCTTGGCCAGTTACTTAACCTCTCTGTGCCTTAGGTTTCTCATCTGTGAAATGAGAAGAACAGAATAAGTGAGGTACTTAACTCCAGGTAAAGAGCACTCAAGATGGATGGGAACCACAGGAAGCCCTAGCTACCATCACCAGGTGTCATCCCTGCTGTTCACAAGAGACCTTCCAGCCCTGACTGCCTGGCACCCTGCCAGATGGCGAGGGAGCATCCCTGCTTGCTCTGCAGCCCTCCTTCCCCCTCGTCCCCCCAGCCATGGTGGCCGCAGCTGGAGTACAGTGACCAACCCACCCTTCTGATTTAGGGATGAGGCCCAGGTCTGCCGCCTGCTGTCTAGATTCAAGAAGACTGACCCGTCTCTCCTTGTCCTCACCAGACCCACGCTTCCACTCCTACCTCCAAACAAGTGAGAGCAAATACCCACCCTCCCATCCAGGGTGGGTGTGCCCAGAAACGCCCTGGATTTTTGGCTCAATGGAATGAGAGGGGTTGCGATTCAGGTGCTGCTGGGGCCATCTGCAGCCCACAGAGGGTCCCCGCAGGCCGGTGGGGCCGTGCCGCCCACCTGTCACACCACTCAGCCAACTGGTGAGGAAATCTGCTGCAGATTCAGAGCTAGCAGGCCTGTCTGGCATGGGATCATGGGCAAGTGGGTCAGTGGGCCAAGGGGAAGGGCTGCAAGATGTGTGAGCAACGAAGACCTTACACCGGCACCAGCAAACCCTCTCACCGGTCGCAGGCGGGCCCTTCCAAAAGCTCTTGTGATGCTCCTGCAGGCCCTGCAAGGTGAACAGAGGCACAGGGAGGGCAGGTCAGGTGCCCCAGCCCTCACAGCTGGCAAGGGCCAGAGCTGGGCCTGGAGCCCGAGCCCGGCCCGTCTCATCGCCAGGCTACACGGCCACAGACTAGCGGACCCCTACAGAAAGCAGGCCAAAGGGGAGCTGGCAAGATGAGGGGGAGGGGCCCTGCTTCTCCCACTGCAGACCTCCTGGAGACCCACGCACAGGGCACCGGCCCCAAATGCCAAACCCAGGGCCTTCGACCACAAGAAAGAAACATGAAAAATATACAAGCAGTACAGCCGCAGCTGAGCACTCCTGATACACCAGAAACGCACCCCAAATCCCCCATTGTGGAGGCCAGAAGACTCTGTGCTGGGAACGGAGAAGTCCCACGGCGAGCTCCCCTCTCTGCCCATCCACCAGTGGCGGAAGGACTTAATTAGTACCATACGGGGAGGGCCGGAGAGAGACAGAGAAGGAAAACCAACAGGGTCCAGAGAGTGGGCTAGGGACCGCAGAGGGGAGAGGACAGGGGTGCACTCCTGGCCTGGCTAGCGGAGAACGAGGCGCCGTGGACAGCCCCAGCCTCCCCTCCCTCTTCCTGCAGGGTTACCCACACCCTGTCGAGGGCCCAACAATGAGACAGGTCAGCACAGGGGACGCGGATGCTGCTTCCAGCATGGCCGTGAAGGGTAGCAGGCTGGGTAGGGATGTCATGGGTTTAGGGGCCAGGACATCTTCCTGCTGCCCCGACTAAAGGAGGGTCGGTCACCTGAGCAGTCACTGCAGGTGGTTCCCCATATCCAGCCCCACTCTGTCCTAAAGATCCCTCGTTCTGCTCTGCTGGGGCTACCATGTGGCAGAAGGCACCAAGTAGGATCTCAGGCAATGGCCAGTGGCCAGGGGGCAAGGCCACCCGGTGACCCAGAGGGAAGGCCGTGAGGGGCTTCTTGGAAGGGTTTCCTGGCTCTCAGGAAGCAAGACCCTCCTTCCTTAGAATGTGGCTGTGATATCCTGTGATTGTGGGGGCTGCCACAGCTGGGGTGGCCGGACCGAGAGGCTGCTATGGTATCCTTGAGCAGCCTGGGTTCAGGGCATCTTACTTTGTGCAAAAAAACACTTCAGAGCCGCTCTGAGTCGTGTTTTCTGTTCCTCAGGCCAAAAGCATCCCGTCTGAGCAGCTGGTGTGGAGGGAAAGAAAGCCCCACACATGGGACAGGGGTCTCCAATTTGAATCAGCACCTGTAAAGAGCTGGACACCACCAGCCCCACCTGGCACCCTGCTCAGAGCCTGAGACAGAAGGCCCTGGGAGAGGGATTCCGGGGCCGTTCTCCCGGTGAGAATGGGGCTTGAGGTCTGGCTGTGGCTCACCAATCAGCAACTC